TTACTGCTAGCTGACCCAATAAGGTCAAAGCCAACACAATCTCTCTCACACGTACACAAAAACATAATGCAGTCACATAGATCTGCATTAGTCGGATCCGGCAAAGCTGTTGCTGTGTTATAATAAAACAGTGTTAATGCAAAAAGTATGAAAGCCCTCAATAACATGTACTCATAAAAACGCATTTTCCAATATGAGCTCAAGCATTTATGATAGTCTTTTACAATCCTTTTTCAAATTCAAAACAATGCAGTCAGTGTACAATTAAACAAGCAATATTTCAATATGGTTCTAAACTTACCATGTGCAGCTTTGTTTCTTCTTTGAACTTTGACCTAGGAAGGACATTTCCCTAACTTTTTATATTTACAAAATACAAGTTTTCTCCTTAATTGTTATCATCATTTAAATAAAGGCACAATGAATTATATGCATTAGTTCATTCTTTTGTATTGCAATGTGTAATTATTAGATTAGTTCTTGTGCAAACCTGACATACGATGAACATATGATATGAAAGCACATCATGCCACCATTTTCATAAAACATTTTTTTTTTTTTTGTTTACACAGAAACTTTTATTTTCCCTCAGCTTAGTCCTTTTTTATTCATCAGGGGTCGCCACAGTGGAATGAACAGCCAACTTATCACCAGGGGCAGCAACGTTTTTTGCTATTTTTGCAGAGAATTTAGGTAAAAATCTGCTATTTCTGCTGAATAATTTTTTGGAGTATTACAATTAAAACCTTAATATTTGAAATAAAAAGTAATACCTTTTTAACTTTTATTTAATGTTTAAATGCAAATCCAGTTAGATTCACTTCATTTGGTAAACAAAGCAAGTCTCTTATATAATATCTCTACTAAAAGACAGAAAATATGTCTTTACTAACTATGTTGTACATAAATCAGATGAACATTTTTATATTAGTAAACAATATTGCTTTGCTTAATTAATAAAAAAAACTTGAGAAATTTAGATTTACACACATTTACATAAGTAGATAAACAGAATTAATGATTGGCTAAAAATCTGCAGAAATCTGCGGAATTCTGTGTAAAATCTGCAAAAAATCTGCAAAATTCTGTGTGTGTAGATTCTGTGTGGGCCTACTTATCACAATACTTTGGTGGAAACCGGAGCACCCGGAGGAAACCCACACAAACACGGGAAGAACATGCAAACTCCACTCAGAAATGCCAACTGACCCAGCCGGAACTTCTTGTTCCAGCAAGCTTCTTGTTGTGAGGTGACAGTGCTAAGCACTAAGCCACCATGAAACAATATTGATTCAAAAAAGCTTTAAAAGGGGTAGCTTAAATACCATGGCTATAGCTAACATACACCGGCCAGTTTATTAGGTACACTTTACTAGTACTGGGTTGGACCCACTTTGCTTTCAGAAATGTCTTAATTCTTCATGGCATAGATTTAACAAGGTTCTGGAAATATTCCTTAGAGATTGTCAATGTTGATATGATAGCATCACGCAGTTGCTGCAGATTTGTTGGCTGCACATCCATGATGCAAATCTCCCGTTCCACCACAATCCCAAAGGTGCTCTATTGGACTGAGTTCTGGTGACTGTGGAGGGTGTTTGAGTACAGTGAACTTACTGTCATGTTCAAGAAATCAGTCTGAGATGATTTACGTTTTGTGACATGGCACGTGCCATCAGAAGATGGGTACACTGTGGTCATAAAGAGATGGACATGACCAGCAATAATACTCAGGTAGGCTTTGGCGTTGACACGATGCTTAATTGGTATTAAGAGGCCCAAAGAGTGCAAAGAAAACATCCCCCACACCATTACACCACCACCAGACTGAATCGTTGATACAAGGCAGGATGAATCCCTGCTTTCACACACACACACACACACACACAACTGACAATTTAGCCTACCCAATTCACCTGTACCGCATGTCTTTGGACTGTGGGGGAAACCGGAGCACCTGGAGGAAACCCACGCGAAGGCAGGGTTTCAGAAACACCAACTGAGCCGAGGTTCAAACCAGCGACCCAGTGACAATTTTGGTGAGCCTCTGTAAACCCTAGCGATGGTTGTGTGTAAAAATCCTATAGATCAGCAGTTTCTGAAATACTCAGACCGGCTCGCCTTGCACCAACAACCATGCCACATTTAAAGTCACTTAAATCAACTTTCTTTCTCATTCTGATGCTCGGTTTTAACTGCAGCAGATCATCTTGACCATGTCTACATGCCTAAATGCGTTGAGTTGCTGCCATGTGACTGTCTGATTAAAAATATCAGAAAAAATAAAGCATTTGGACAGGTGTAGGCCTACCTAAAGAGTGGCTGGTGAGTGTATGTTTAGCATGGATATACATGTATGCCATATATATTTTTACAATGTTTTTAATTGTGCTAAATATTTATTGTCAAAAAAAATAAATAAATAAATAAATAACAACTTTACATTGATTCATTGCATACTTTAATCTTTATCATGATTTAAAAAGTCCAGAAACATGTATGACTAGATATGTATGTCCAAAGTTGAGAAAGTGTAAGAAAAAATATAAGATAAATAAAGAAATGTGGCCTAATAACAGTCAAGACTGTTTCACAAGGTCTTATCTGCCACTTCTTGGTGGCCTTGGTGAAAATTACAGCCTGTCCATTTACAGTCCATATTGCGCATACATAGCACATTAAGAGCCTCATTATATCTATTTCAGACCATATGGACCTGGGCTGAGGTGGGTCACTGCAGGGCCAGCCTAAGCTGCTCTCTCTAATTGCAACAATTATGCCATCTTCATTACAAGGGGCATTTATGGAAAATGGTGCCACGGCCCCTCAAGATTGGTGTCATAGCACTCTGGACTACAAGAGTTCCAAAGAGATGTGCCCACACAGAGCCCAAAATGTGATCGTATCCCAGTTATTCTGAGCTTAATGTGACATAGAAACGTTTTATGGATCAACATTTCAAGCTTATTTAAAAACGAGTAAAGCTCTTTAAATATTTTACTGCGTGATCTTGTACCCTAAAATTGATCAGTTATAGACATATAAAGATTCATGAAAAAATATTTGAGTTCGATTTTCATCCAGCTTAATTTATTAATCCTGTTCATAGAACATGCCTAGACTTGTTCATGATTCACGCTGAAAGGTCCGTTGAGGAATTGAATCGAATGACTCGTTTGATGCTAGTTCACTGACTCACTGAAACAAAATGTATACAGAAACGGGGGATGGGGGGTGGGGTGTTTTAATAGCAAAATGTTAACACATGTAAACACAAAGGTCCAGGTTTACGCCCTGTTTTTGACTGTTTTTAACACAGTTTTATTTTAGATGTGCATCAGAACCACACAAATCTAAACATGTATAAAATGTTGTGCACGGTATATGAACATTATAACGGCCTTGTAAATTATATGACTTTGTTTGAATTATCTGAATCAATAAACTGAGGCAGACTGTTTGAATGAACCGATTCCTGTAAACGAGTGGATCTTCTCTTTCTGTTTTGAACGGCAACTGCACTATCCTGTGATAAAGCACGTGTACGTGTTGTCCCGCCTCTCTACGTTTTTTATTGGTAGTTGAATATGAAGGACGTGCGTATTCCTGTTTTCGATTGGTTGCTTTCGATTTCGCGGGACTGTCAATCATATTCAGGAAGTTGCAGTCGAGTCAATTGCAGAACTGAAACTGTTGATGAACTGATTTTAAATAGAAATTCGGCTGCTGTATAATATTTTGATTTCTTATTGAGTACTAACATACTTGTATAAGAAAGCGCTATTGTAATTTTTGGTGTTTTTTGTGAAACAGAAGTTAAATAAGACTAACTTAATGATTTAACTTTAGTTAATCGTATTTAGTCGTTCGGTAACGTTTTACATGAAATTTTAACATAATGCCTCCAAAGAAATACACACTACCTCGTCCACTTCCAGATGGATGCATTTTAACGGATTCAGAAAAGAAGAACTGGCGCATCGGGAAAATGATTGGAAAAGGAGGATTTGGGCTGATTTATTTGGGTATGACTTTATTCTGCATGAATGTGTTACCATTTCAGTTTCATTTATGACGTGATGACAGAGTAATTCAGGGCACACCATTTGTTAAGTTTAAAGAACACTATGTTTAATTTTTTTTCTTAATTGAAAGAAACTTGCTGACTGATCTAAAAATATCAGTGCTTTTGTTTTGACTCAAGATGGAAACACAGTAATGCATTTGTTTAAGCCATTTGTCAAAAAAAAAAAAAAAAAAAATTTCGCTAAAATTTAAAAAAATGTCCCCATTAAACTATGGCCTAATGCTAGTCTTAAACCCTTAGCCAGCCGGGTGAAAGAGTTGGTTATTATTTTTTTCTCTCAAAAAGTGGATTTTTTTTCAGTTATTCGGCATATTTTCTATTTAATTGAGGTTTAAACACTGCATTTTAGTAACATTTTAAGCACTGTTTTTTTTTCCGAATGATCATCATAACCACACTTTTTTAATTACCAAAAACATTCCCTAAATATTTCATAAAGAAATATGAAAATAATAAAATAAAAATAAATAAATAAATAAATAAACAAATAAAAAAATATATATATATTACATCACATATCATTAGGAAAAAAACAGGAATCTGTTAAAGTTCTAAATTAAAAACTAGCCTATTGTCATTTATTAGGCAAATAAAACTGGCCAGCACATTCAACTTTCCTAAGTCAGAATTTGGGATGCCAAAACAGGATTCCACTTGGTCCTAAAGCATTTTTCTATGGGTTATTTACGTACTGTAGATAATTATTTTTGTTACAATTTATTATGGCATAGCAGTCAAAACAGGAAAAAAAATAGCTGATATATGGGACAAATTCTGGACCTTTGTCAGTGAGGAGTGGGTCTTTCGTACCACCCAAAGCCCCCTGACTATGGGCCTGCTGAAACTAGAACTGTTTATGTATCTTAACTGTATATATAAGCATTGGATAGCTCTAATTTTTCAATATTTTACAGCTTCTCAGGATGTGAATGTCCCTGTTCGAGATGATGCTGATTTTGTGATCAAAGTGGTAAGAAATATTTTTATCAATTTATGAAGTATCATTAACAACACTATAAATAGACCAAAAGTCTCCACTCCTACTGATTTATACTGTATGTACATTTCCAGGAATATCATGAAAATGGACCTTTATTCTCAGAACTCAAATTTTACCAACGGGCAGCAAAGCCAGAAACTAGTAAGATATTTTGATCCTTTTTTAATTTAAATTCTGTCAATATTCTGTAATGGAATTTCTGTTGTTATGTAAGGGGAAAAATCCATAAACACTGATTTTATTATTGCCAAAGGAGGTAGAAGCAGATGCAGCCTTTGGAGTAGTGTTGAATGGAAATCCTGAAGACCCCTCATCTTCATCTGAGAGTTCTCAAACATGGAGTGCATGTCACTGATGAAGTGGCTATAGATGTAAATTAGCCTGGCTAGGCGAATTAATAAACCAAAGCAAACATGCACCTCTGTGGTCGTTAGTGCAATCCCAGCTTGTTTGAGCTCTAATTCAGAGAGAGTGACCAAATTGCTGATAATGATGCTGGTTTCTCCAAAGGGCCCCTGACCACCTGTCAGTCTGGTGCACAGCCAGTCAAGACAGATTTCCTTTCTAGCTAGGCTGGAGGAAATGCTTTTTTTTATGTGTGTGAAAGATGTGTTTACTGTATATCAGTTATGTGTTTATAAAATATGTGCATATACATAAATGTTTTGCCAAGACATTTTTTTTTTAAATTCTGAACTCAGTGAGCAAATGGATGAAGTCAAAACAACTGGGTTTTTTGGGTATCCCAACTTACTGGGGTTCTGGACTGACTGAAAGTAACGGAACAAGGTATGAGATTGACTTATTTTATTATTTGCATTTGTTATTATTATTATTATTATTATTATTATTATTATTAATAATTATTGATTGATGGACATGGATGCAATACATATGGTACATGCATGGATACGTACACATTTGTGTTTGGGATCAGTGTAAAAGCTGTTTCAGAATAGTAAATTAAATATAAAACAAATAGTTCTGAAAGTAATTTTTGATCAGGTGAATTTTAAACTCCTAAAGCAAAAATAATTACTCACACAAATATATATTTTCCAAAGTTGTATATTAAAGCATAAAGATGGGATGTTGTTTAGCAAATGTAAACAATCAAACTTCGCTACACCCTTTAATAAAAAGTAGTCATTCAATTTAATTTGTTGTCTGACGCATTCTGCTTTGTATTTGAGCAGTATCATGTGTAATTCATGCAAAACAGTTGTTGAGAGTTCAAAATCGTTACTTGAGACACTTTCTGTACCCAATCACGTAGTATCACCAATCCATTTGACATTAACTACAATAAATAGAGTACATACATATTTTTGTCTGTATTCTAGGACTTTAGTGTAGTTATTGTATATGTTTTAAGTCAATTATTATAATTTTTTGCGGGTGTAGGTACAGGTTTATGGTAATGGATCGGCTGGGTACAGATCTGCAGAAAGTGTTAATAGATAATGGTGGACAACTGAGGAAGACCAGCGTGCTACAATTGGGTGTACTAATGGTGAGACAGTGCTAAACTTTTTACATTTAGATGATGGTTAAAGTTGCTTGTTATTTAAAATTATTTCTGTACTGATTTAGCATTTACTCATATTTTCAATTAGCCTTTTGTCATTTGCTTGTCATGTATAGTTTTATTATTATTATATTTTAAATTATAGTACTTACTTTTGTTTATACTATTTGTCAATGGTTAAACAGTTTAAAACATAAAATAAAATGAGATGTTATCTGACTTCCTAGGTTGTCTGTGAAAGCTTGTAGTCATATTTTCATGTAAAGGACTATAGGATGTAACAGTATTGTCTGGTCTATGTCACATGTCATAAATGCTTAAAATGTTCAAGATAATGTGGTATTCTGTACTGTAAAGTCACCATCTTATATTCAAAGTTGTGTCGTACATAACCAGATCTATACAGAGAGCCCAAAATCATTCATTGTGTAATGAAGCTTTAATAGTGCAGTTACAATGCCATTGTAACTTAAGTTATGAAAGATAAATATATCATTTAAATTACACACAGTTTTATACAGCAGTTCAACAAAAAACAGGTTAAATGGATTCAGGCAAATCCAGAGTGAACGTGTGTGTACCACTGCATCTTATTTTTCTTTAATCAGTTTTTTCAGTAAATCATTTGAGCCAGTGATTCAATTATCCGTTCATACAGACAGTCACTTTCTTTGTAAGTTTGTATAGAACAAATCCTTTGATAATGATTCTAATTAGTATTATTAGGGCATTTAGTTACATCTTTCTTAATCATGAATTTGTTCATCATGTCTGCTGTTCACTTAGGGTGCTTTCACACCTACACTTTTGTTTCGGAACGTATCTCGTTTGCCCAGTTAGCGCGGTTCGATTGGCATATGTGAACAGGGCAATCGCGCTCTGTTCCGCGCCAAAGTAATTGCTCCGAGATCGCTTGAATGAGGTGGTCTCGGCTCGATTGAAACGAACCCTGGAGCGGTTCGATTGCAGTGAGAAAGCGATCCGAGCGCGGTTACATCACAGTGTTTTATGGATATGTAATAGGCTTACAGCTATATGAAAAGAGAATTATGAGTAGGGCGGGAAGTTTCGCGAGTCTCCGGATACCCGCAAACGAGTGATGATCTCCCGGTAATCTCGCGTCTCCCTCCCGGTCCTCAAATAGGCATCGTCGCGCAGCCTTCTCACCCCTCTCCACCGCGTCTCTCCTCAAACACGTCGCGCAAGTGCACCCTGTCAATCACCACCAGACCCACCTCTCCTGACAGCTTAGCTGGACGCTGAAAAATAAACCCTGAAACTCTGACCAATGCGAGGAGCTCGCACGTGACTTGTTTTAGCTCTTTTGGTCCGATTAGAAACTTTGCAGTGTGAAAGCAAACCGCTCCAAGAGCAAAGAGCAACAATGTAACAATTGTAATCTCTGTTTCGGAACAACTGAATCGATTCACAGGTGTGAAAGCACCCTTAATGTCTACTGGTTTTTGCTAACATCAAGCCTTTTTCAAATCTACATACAGTAAATTCCCTTTCAGCTTTAAGTCTAAACTTTTTCATTTATTTTCATTTCAGCTTTATTGCAGTTAACAAAAGCAGTAACAACCTCACTATAATTTATGAACACACTGTTACCATCACCAATTAATGTTTTAATATGACTTCAGTATATTTAGGGGTTTGATTTAGCACACATGTAAGCATGAAAACACAAACGTTATTTACCTCATTTTGTAATCTAGTGGATTTTGAGGATACCTTAGTTGCATTTGCTTAGTTTCCGGCTATCTTGCATCCATCTCATCTGCCAGTAGTCATTACAGTAGGTCATTATGGGGTTACTAAATTATTCATGTTAACCTTCCACTCTGCCACTTTGCCCCCAACAGCTGGATGTGCTGGAATATATTCATGACAACGAATATGTCCATGCTGATATTAAGGCTGCCAATCTCTTATTGGGATACAGAGATCCAAACAAGGTGAGCCTAAATGCTCATCATCATTACAACCATCAGTAGGGACATCTTAAATTATTGGTTTTCATTTTGAGTACATATTAACTATTTAGTTGCTGCATGTTTTCAAAAGAGCTTTTTATCACTTTCATTGATCATCTGTTAAGACGGCCAGCCAGCATCGATGACATTCAGAGCTTCACTCTTGAGTATAATCAATTAACTTTTCAGTATGTTGTCACAACTTTAAAACTGACCCCCGTTTCCTGGTGCTTTGCACTAATATACCATATGTAGTACAGTAGAATAGATTCAGTTTGAAAGAAAATATCATTGTGATGATTTATGCCGACTTTATCTCCTGCAGGTGTACTTGGCTGACTATGGTCTCTCATACAGATACTGTCCTAATGGCGAGCATAAAGAGTACAAAGAGAACCCCAAGAAAGGACACAATGGCACTATTGAGTACACAAGCATTGACGCTCACAAAGGAGTAGGTAATGTGAAATCTGTCATTTATTTTATCTTTTTTTCCTGACATCACAAGGAGAGAAATCTATGCTATTAAACACAAATGTCTTCCTTTTTTTCAGTTATAGTTAACAGAATTGGTGTTTGCAACCATTTTATTTCTAGAATTTGAAGTATTCACAAGTGAAATGGGTCATTCAATGCTAAAAAAAAATGTTAGACTGGACTTTATATCTGTTAGGCATGTAAAAAGGGAACAAAGCTTTTGAAACATATCAATTTAATAAATTTTGAATAAAGATTACAATTTTTTTAACATGAATTAATTTAATAGCCACAATTAAACCAGGAATATGCATTAAGGAAGTAAATGAGGTCAGTTTAAATTACAGCGCACGATATTGGGAAAATCAGACATTGCAATGCTTTGTTTTGCTGCTGTATATATTGCGATATGAGTACAATTTCACCAGATGACTTACAGTAAATAGCTCTATTTGGTAAGAATTTAGATACATAAATTGAATAATCAAATGTAAGATAGCACTACATGGCATCTTCGTTTTATAAATAATTCAATAAATAACTTTTTTATTAAAGTTTAAAATTGTACATTTCCTTGTGCTTGAATGTATTAAACTCTCTTGATATACTCATACAGTCACAGTGCCTTAAAAACATGTAAATTATAAACATTTGCTCCATTATGGTAAAAATCTCCAATGACTCCATGTTCTGAACTGTGGCTCCTGGTACACTATAATCCTGCAATGTGACTATTGCGGATGCACACAATGCGATATCGATGCTAAAACGATATATTGTGCAGCCCTAGTTTTAATTCAGTTCAAATAATACAACTAATAATACAAGTATGAATTCACTAGCTAAAATTCTTAGCTTATAATGGAGTCCTTTTTATGTAGCTGGGACTTGTCAGTATCATGTCCTTAACTCCGGGTCATGCTATTGGAAACACATTAACTTGTAAATTGTGTACAGTCCTTTTTATTGGATATTGATTGTTCTAGCCATGCTTACTTGGGCAGACTTAATTCAAGAAATCCCTAATTAGTCAAAGTCATAACCTGCATCTTGTATGCATTTACTATTAATTAAAGCTTTGATGTTTTGTTGAACTGGGACTCAACGCCAATATCTCTGCCTGCATTGGCTGTAGGATTTTACTGAAGTTCAATACTGAATACACAATAGTAAAGCTTGCTAATAGCCATGTTTCTGTTGCTTTTCATTTTGCAAGCATATAGAAAATATGCCCTGTCAGCAGAAAAAAAAATAATAATTTACAAAGTTTATTTTTTAATGATAATCGGTAGTTATATATATATATTTATATTACAAATTTTGAATTTATATATATATATATATATATATATATATATATATATATATATATATATATATAAATAGATTATATATTTTTAATATATGAATAAATATATTTTCATTATAATATTTTAAAATATTTTTGCAATGTCATATATTTATTGAACTGGATGATATGTTTCTCACTTCGAATTGAGTAGCACACATCAAAATATATATCTACCTTCATATTTTTAGAAGGACATCTCCTTTGAGGAGAAAAATTTGTGAATCCATGGCATCAAATAGTTAAACAAATCATTTTTAATGTAAATGGAAAAAAACAAGCTTTAATATTTTTAAGAAAATGAAAATGTGAGTATATATGTATGTGTACACAGTCACATGTCTATTTTTCCTGTTAGTGATATAAAAGGAAAAAGAAAAAACATGACTCTCAGTAAATTCATAGCTTGGGCTCAGTAAAACACATTTTTTGATACATCAGAAAGTAAATCATGCTAAGGTTCAGACTAAGGTCTGGAGGCTTTCAGACAAGACCATGTTCTTACCTGATACAATTTGTTAACTTCTCACGTACAGGATTCTACATATGGTCCTGATTCCGTCTTACTGCTCTTTAAATGTATGGCCAGTTGTACTGTGTAAATCACACTACATATGGCAAGTGATATAACACTTGAGAGTTTATAAAAACACCTACCCACCAACTCTGGAGTTCATTGTCCAGGTCCCGATCTACTCCCAAACCTAAATTCAATGCAGCGAGGCCATAAATTTGACAAAGATTGTTTGTGTCACTATCAAACTCTGTGCTGCAGACTGAATCGACGTCACCACACTGACTGCCCTGACAGAAGATGCAGACAGCTGTTGTGCTGGTCATTAGCATCGTCTGCCCTGTAGATGAATGCAGATTGCAGTGTTTCTTTTCTTTTGGCCTCTGGCACCCCGTGTAGCTGTTGATTTGTTACCATGGTGAGGAGTGCAGAGACGGGCACTTCGTGTCCCGCTGAACCCCGTGCTAAAGGCCTAATTATCACTTGTAGGGTTGAAGTGAGCCGGCTGAAATTCAGGAGGAGAGGTTCAAGAGTTTGACATGGCGCTTTGGATAATCACAATAACAATAGGCCGTAATTATGAACAACAGCTTCTATCTGATGGAAGGTGTTGTTCTCAGGCTTGAATGCATCGTTCTTTTGGATGGGCCTTTTTTCTAAGTGAATCGGTGTCAGGACTAGGCCAGGCAGCCCACCCCTTCGACTCCCTATTACAGAGAAGTACAAAATGTTTACAGAGCACGTCTTATCTTGTGCTCTTTGGTCTTTAGTCAGAGTTACCTTTTATGTGGCACTTAAGAGGCATTTTCTCAAGGTCACCAGTGAGGGATGTTAAAATCTTTTCTATTAAATTGTGTGTTTGCTAAATTAGTTTGGTCAAGGTTGAAGAAAAATAAAGAAAACCTATAGACGTGGCCTAATGGTGTTGCTGGCTAGCGGGCAGGGAGGCTGACTCCGTAATGGGCATGGCAGGATCAATGATGGTCATGGATTTAGGCAGAGATTTTCCCTTTTGATGAATGCAGTCAATAGGTAATTTCTCAGGAGATGGACTGCAGTTACAGTATTGAGTTAATACACTCTCTAGGCACGAACAAATGATGTGCCTTAATTTACCTTTATTGATGAAGTTGGAGCTTTTCATGAAGGTAAAAGCTTAAAGGGAGGTTAACTCCCGTATATGAGAGAAACTGACAAAGCCGTCCCATTCAGATTTAAATATACGGGCGAACATAATTCATTGAGGGTTCTTAGTTTAAAGTCAAGCCATAATTGGTCAGTCTGACCCAAAATTTATTTTAGTTTAATAGCTGGGATCCAAAATGAATATTTCATATCTGCTGCTGTCTATCTGCCTAGACTAATCAGTTGGTTGAAGTGAGGCCATTTAACACTCAGTGCTCAAGCAGATGCCTTTGTAGTAATACTAGAGCAGTGTTGTTAAAACTGGACAGGGATAGATTCCCATTTAGGCTTATGTAACTGTGAATTGAGCTCTGTTGGGCTTATTCAAAAACCTCGCAAAGACAACTAAACTAGATCCAAAAGTACTATTTTCTTCTCCTTCTGATGTTAAGTACAATTGCATGGATTTTACAATTTATGTTGTTTACAACTAATAGACAATTCAAATAATGCCTAATGAGAAGTAGGGCTGAGTGATGTTGTGTTGCACACCACACCATAACATAATATAAAGTGACTTGTGTAGTCAACCTTATAAACAGATGATGTTTGTGGACTGGTGAACATGTACTGTATATCAGGGATATCACAATGCTTAAAATCAATACCAGTCGGTACAGAAACTTTAAAAACATCCGTTTCCCGCAAACATTTGAGTGCTGTAGAGCATGCTCTTAAACACTGCTGATTTGCCATTGTGTTCACATGCTCAACAGAAATTACTGTGATTGGCCGTGAAGGTATTCAACTCACTGAACTCACCGCTGTTTACAGCGTGTAATTCATCAGCGGATATACCAAACCAGCTGATCAACATGACTTTGAAACCCTCCAGTGTCACAGTATCTGTGATTAAACCATAGACTGTACAAGATATGAATGTAGTATCCATGACATCACCTATAGGTTTCCGAAGAGCACAAATAAAGCTACAAGTAGGCGTGGCCAACCATCGCCATATTGTTTGTGTCGTCGCACCGACCATTGGTGACCAAATAAGAGCAAAGAGGCGGAGCTTCAGATGTCTGCTAGCATTTTGCTTAGACTGGCTTTTCTTTGGGAGAAATGCTTAATACCTCATTACCTGCGACTTGTTTGTGTTCTGACTACATGCGCTTGATTGTGTACTATATCAATAACTTGTTTAGTCTTTTAAAAAACAATGTTATAAGACTTTGAGCCACTAAGCATTGTTCTTAGGACGTTTTTCTACAGGAGGAAAACGCGAATTACTTCCAAATACTTCAAATAAAGTCTGTGTTATTAAATGCAAGGCTATTCATGAACTCCAGGCATAACACTGTATGAAAATGTTTCAAATGATTGTTCTATAGCCTACAGCTAATCAATCTGTGAGATTCTGAAATGCCTTCAAGTTCTAAAGAAAATTATAAATAATAAATTATCTTAAGTAAATCAAATAGATTTATAGATATTGTATATAAGATAATAATTTCACTCACCTGGGAAATGGAGGCTACTTGAATGGTTTGTGAGCACAATTAAGTGCACACATTATGCCATATCATATGATAATTGTAGAAATAAATCCAAAATGCAATTGACCGTGTAAAGCCACATAAAACAAAACAAAAAGAGCTCAGCGGCTAATCAGCTGGTGACTTGAGGGTGACCAGCGGGACCTGCAGACGTAATATAACTTAATAAAAACAAAACGGATGAGTTATAAAAATACCCCCCCCCCCCAGTTAATATTAGCAGTAATATTAGCTATATGCACCAAAACCATCTTTTGTACCAGGCTGTAAACATGTTTTTATTATCTGTAAAATTCGCCAATTTAGCATTGCAGTCAATGGACATCTGGAGTTCCTGGAGCAAGCCCCCAAAGGCGATTGGATGCATTGCAGTTTCAGTTACTTCCGTATTGGCTTCACGAGAGAGAGCAGGATGTTGCCGCTTGGGTTACACTCTTTAAACAGCTGTGAGTTTGGTGAACTGATGACCTTCACGGCCAATCACAGTCATTTCCATTAAGCAAGTTAACACAATGGCAAATCAGCTGTGTTTAAGAACGTGGTCAATAGCACTCTAATGTTCTCAAGAAATTGACATTTTTAACATTTAAGTACCAATTGGTATCAAATTTCAGTATCTTGACAACCCTAATGTATAGTATAATTAATGTGGTTTGATTCATGAGAAATTCCTAAAATATGATACTATTATATTTCTGAAATTATTTAAACTTTTTTTTTTATGAATCAAAAACAAAGTGTTGTTTTGATTAGTTAAAAAAGTGCTTTGGGAATCTGAAATACCGTGCACTCTTAATTTTAGAGTAAGATATGCAATGATAAATAAGCAAATGCAATATTATAACTGCAACGTTTCCTAATGAACTGGGATTGAAATGATTTAAAAACTGAATAAAGAGGTTCAGAATCAAAACTATCTGGTGAATCTGTATTGATGCTAGCTCAGTGGAGAAAAATAATCTATTTTAGAATTTATAATAATGTGATTATCATGAAAGATGAGGTGACTATAAGAAGTTTTTAGTTTACAAAACACATTTACACTAGATGGCAGTTGTGTAATGTGCTACGGCAGAGGTGGAGATGAAGGAGGTCTAGGGAGCACACACTCCCAAGCTCTTCTATTAGGGCCAGAGGAGACCCCACGGAATCCAGAAACATGTGGAAACTATTTGAGCCCAGACATTTATTTCTTTGTTTTACTGCTTGGCTCTCTGTCGGAGAGAGTGTCGGGCCGGGCCACAGGCTGTCTGGATCATGTCAGAGGCCGTCAGGATCAGGTTCCTGGACGAGTCGCCAGACCAGACGAAGAAGGAGGGAGTGTGAGAGCGATGTGAGGAGTGCTGGTGGGAGGAACTGACCTACTCTTTCAACTCTTAGCCCCTCTTAGAAAAGCCCTGTTAGCCTGTTAGGCAGGCCAGAGCACCAGCTGAGAAAACAAAATACTTCTCTCAATCACCCCTCCCCCTCTGCCTTTTTTATAAGGGCATATTTCAGCAACCAATGGACGGGTCATTCAATCAAAGGGTCTTAACTTACTTCTCAACTGACACTCAACTTCTTTTTCTTATCTTCACTTTCTCCAACAGCCGCATCCCGGCGAGGAGACTTGAAGGTGTTGGGCTACTGCTTGCTTCACTGGCAGTGTGGAACTCTGCCCTGGCTCCCTTCTCTTAAAAATCCAGCTGAGGTTCAGGAGGCCAAGGCCAAGTACGTTCCCCTTTTCACCACAGGTCTAGACCTTGAACTCTGTTGTGTACAGTGGCTGCTGATCAGAGAATTTTGTGCTTGTTCAGCCTGAATTATTCCCTCACAGCTGCTTCGTTAAGCCTTAAAACTCTACTAAAGGTGTATAAGAATACAGATTTTCTCTCATGCTTAGAAATGTAAGCTCAGCTTTAAAAGGATCTTCAGATCTTCAGAAGAGAGAATGACAAGTTCTTCACAGTAAAATATTAACCATATGTTATGTATTTCCATTAATCGAAAGCAAAGAGGTGTTTTCAGATGCATTCTCACAACAAGACCTCTGGATAACCTTTCCTCTCATCATCTCTTAACTGCAGGTTGATGTCTAACCTGCCAGATTCTGTTCTGAAGATGTCTACCTCCAGCTCAAGCATGGGTAAGTGCGCGTGAGTTTGCAGGCCATTTGCATTGATCAACAAGGTATGGGGCAGGGACTTAGATTCCTCGCCATCCCCACAGGCACAATCTCCTTGCCTCTCCTTCATCAACGGACTCTAGCATCCCTGCAGTATCTTTTCCCCCTCCACAGGGAGCGAGGGCACGTGCGTCTTCTGAAAGGGGGCTTTGTGATCTATGATTATGATGAGGCCTTATTCCCCCAACCTTGAGAGGCTGGCTGCAGCTGGACCAGAAAGATAAGACCTCTAACATGCATCAAGGCTGCGCATGTGGTATACATTCAGCTGGGCTGCCACAAAGAGAATGCGCACCAGCATAGCACTGCATCCAGCATATTTATTACAGTGAAGAATGGAAGGTGCCCATATTAGACACACATTTGTGTTCTCGTATGAACAGAGAGGCCCTTTCACATTGTGCTTCTGCCACCGTCCATTTGTTAGGAAGATGTGGTTTTTGTTCCCTTTGGAATGAAAATTAAGTCTGCAGATGCAGGTTGTCACTTGGCCGGACATTCGTGCGTGCTTTCGGTTAGCATCTAGGTCAACTGCAGGATACATCAACATAAAACATGCACACCAGCACAGTTGGGGTTTATCTGTGAATTATGCAAATAAACAACCACAATCCACCTCCACAGTAGTCCTCACTTGTGTAGTTTTCCAAAAAGGATACATTCGGGATATATGATGAGGTGTTTCTAAAAATCTGTCCCGCTCAACATTTGATTATTAAGAATTGTTTTCTGAGTATTAAATGGATAGTCCAACCAATAATTCTGATTAGATTCTGTTATCATTTACTATCCTTTAATGAAATTGATAAAATCTTTCTTCTATGGAATACGAATGACAACATTTGATGACAGTTTTATTTTTTGTATAAATTCTGGTTTTGCATATTCAGATGTCTTTCTTTCTGTCCCCCTACAGAGATTGCCCAGTTCCTGTCCAGAGTGAAAGACCTTGGCTATAATGAAAAGCCAGACTACCAGGCTCTCAGAATGGTTCTGTCTGCGACCGGGCTGCAGGGCCCATTGGACCTCTCCAGGCAGAGAGCTTCAGAGACGGTCAGGCCAACTACACAAAGGGTGAGTGTGAGATGCTTTGGCACAACAGCCCAGTAGTCTTAATCGAGACCATATGAGCTGGGGCTGGAGCATTCAGAGCAGCCTGTGGGCTGCGGCAGATTTATCTGTCTGGGAGAGAGAAGGAGATGCTCAGGTTTGGGAACCCTCCTCTGACCCTTTCCCAGCTACACTGCCTCCCACTCCTGTTCAGAGCAGTCTGACTGGCCTATTGGCGGCGTTGGAGTTGGACTGAAATGGTGCAAACCAGAAAAAGGGAGATTTACACAGTGGTGACAGACTCAGAGTTACTGAAGGCCCTCAGCCTGGGGCCACAGCTCAGTGCAGTGTCAAAACCATAGAAGAGAGCCATTTAATTAAAGCACTCTTATTTATTGCAATCACGCGCAGGCTTGTATTTCAACGTGTATGTGCATTCAAAATGGTGCCTCTGAAAATCCACCATGTCAGATTTCTGTGCTCTATTATGCTGGTGAAAGACAAGAATGGCACTTTTCCTCTATAAGGAGAATGAGATGGTGAATCTTGACCGTGGTGTCATAGGTTAACCTTTGCTGACCTTGCCAAAAGGCTTATTGGCTCTCAAGAGGTCTGGAGTGGAGAGACCTTAATTCCTCTGGAATCACTTCACAGTTGATCACTGCCAACTTGAACCGCTGAACTTCATGAACACCCGAGCAACCCAATTTGGGGCTGTTGAATACACACATTTTTCAGAGGCCAAAAGATCGGCATTTAGAATTGCTTCTCATTTTTCTGAAGCTGTCCAGCAGTTTGATCTGTGGTCAATAGAGAAGGCTCAGTGTTAAGGATTTAGAGAAGGTTTGGTAAATACCCTCAGTGTTTAGGGTGTCATTTACTCGCTGATATTGAAACCACTCTGCCCAGTAAGTAATTCAGAGGACCACCTGCAGAACACATCTCCATTCTGCAGTTTTAGATTGACCTTTACATCTTACTATTGTTTTATGAATTAAGCATGAATCATAGAAATGGTGATTTGAATAAAAAATATAATTGTAGGTAAAATGAGACATGCATATGAATGATCTGAGAAATTGTATTGGAATTTTGCTTGCATTTATTATTTTTTTTAATGTGGGAAATTGATGAACTTGGGGTGCTTTCACATCTGTGATTCGGTTCATTTGGTCCAGACCAAGGGCTAAAAAATGATACAATGTAGTTTTTCCTTTTCACACCACACTGATTGCTTTGGTCTGATCGAGTTTAAAAAGAACCAAAGCAGTCATATGACAAAATCCACATCGCTCATTGGCCAGATCTTATTGAACTCATTTTTTAAACTGCTTTTCGATTGGTCAGAATTAATGTGTGGGAAAATGCCAATGGAACTCCTGCAAGTAAACAAACCGGCAGACACAAAATGTCACTTTTAATGTGGAGTGACTGTGCTGGCTGATTGTATTCCTGGTCATAGTATACTATATTGTTTGTATACATCACTTTAAACAAACTATGCATTTCGAGAATGAAGTGCAGCTGCGGCTGGAAAACAATGTTTTAATGCATTGCAAACAGCAAAGACGCATTGCAAGTCACTTCATGAGGAGGCGTGAGTTAATTTTGCTAAACTGCAACGAGTGGAAATATTAACAACGATCCATCAGGTAATGTTCTCCCCTCTCACTCTTTGTTTAAAATTGTTGGTAAAGCTCTGTCAACAAATATATAATACAAATATTTGCCACACCCCATAAGATGAGACCGCACATTAGACTGCGGCAGCTGGATGAGTCCAAAAAGGCACAGTTCTTTTTAAGGTTGGGTCGTTTTATTTCGAATCATGTTCTCTTCACTATCAAACCGCTCCAGAGTTCATTTGAACCGTACTGAGACCACCTATTCAAGGAGGTCTCGGTACGCTCTTTTGGTGCATACTCGAATGCGATAACTACATTCACACCTGCCCAAACGAATCGTACCAAAAAGGAAACCAATGTCTATTTTGATTCAATCTAACTAAATAAGGCGGGTGTGAAAACACCCTTAAACACAATGCAAGAACTGCGTGGGTAAATCTTTAGCCGCTATGCAAAATTCTTAGTCAAATAGATTCCTATTGATACTATTATTGATATCAGCAGCAAAAAATAAACAGCCTTTCCAACCATTACAATTCAAAGCCCAAAATATTCTTAACCAATTCTTACTTTGCAACAATTTGTCCACTGTGATTTTGACATTTCATCAGTCGTCTTCATGGATGTAACCATCCACATACAGCCAAACTGTTTGTCCATGCATGCAGACGATGTAATGACAATGTATTTGAAGATGATTATTCAGACAGAATAAGTCCACTAGGTGTTACTGCACATACTGTATTTGTTTATCCATTTTCGAAAATGCAGCAAAAGAAGTATAATCATCTGACTTTAGGACACAAAGTTTGATGACTATGTATTTTGGATGATAGTTCATTTGGATGATAGAACATTCTAACAAAGCAACGTGACTTTTTAGTCTTAATTCTGATCTTGACCACCCTATATTTGGCGCAGATGGAAAGCATCAGTGTCACCAGCAAGGACATTAAGATTTGAATCCCCTTTTCTTTGTAGTTCTATTTTTCTCTGTGGTTCTGTTCATCTCCTTCTAGACGACGTAGCTACAGATCCCTTTGAATAAAAGCTAAAACAACACCATCAATGTCCCCCTCGTGTCTCAGCTCTCCTGAAACCCCGTCAGGCAGCGTGAGGCCAGCAGCTCCTCGTGTCACTCCAACACTCCTGGAGTTTATTTTGCCTACAGCTGACCTCGCTGGTGATCTGTGGCCAAATTTAGTTTGGACAGTTGCCACCTTAGGGAGAGCAGTAGATGCCATTAATCAGGGCAGGTCTTCTCCTCTCAGGATTCAGGTCAAGGAAGGAACACCGAGTGCACTCTTTCTCTCTCTCATGAATGCTCGGAGACAAAAGCAAGTAAATTTCTGTCATCTAATTTAACTTAACCTCCCACAGGCCGCAAGCCAACCCAAGACTACTGAGAAAAAAATGGGGAGATCAAAGCCTGCGGTGACAGCGGAGGAAATTGATGAGGAACAGTTGGGTGTGTCATCACCAAACAAAGTCTGGAGGAAGACCAAACCACAGACACACAAGCAGGTATAATTCAAAAAAACATAACTGAATGACAGTTTCCCTGAAAAAAGGCAAAACTTTATATGTACTCATATTATTTATGAAACTAGCATTATTCAAACAAATTAAAAAATGTAGAATGACATTTGTATACATGCAGTATTGAAGTCCATATGGCACATTATGAAGAAACTATTTTATGGACCACAGGTCGAGAACTGTAGTTTCAACCACACAAGTTTGCTATTCTGTGAATGTGGAGTATAGATTTGGGAAAAACCACATTGCTGAATGTTTTTGGTAATGACAGAACCGTTGTCGACTAATGATGCTTTTAGGAAATCCACTTCTGGTTGAAAAATGTTCTGCAGAGGCATGCCAAAGTCCCAAAGTCTCGGTGACCATCTTTAAACACTTCTCGGGTGCAGTATGCTCTGTCTAATTGAAACATCAAATTCTCCAAAATTGCTTGCCAAGCTAGCTTTTGATTAAATGTAGTATTAGGAATCACTAATAAAATTACACAACAACTGTCTCTTAAGTTTAATTTCTAAACGTTTGAATCACACAAAATCTGCAGAATCCCTCTCCCGGAGACTCAATATCGATCGCTGATTGGCTCCTGTACCAGAAGGCGGGCCTTCATTCAAAATATTGACGTTACACTTTTCCCCATTCAAAAATATACGAGTGACACGTCTTGCGTATTCTATAAGCTGTGTCTTATTTCAGAGGCTGCATCCTTCGAAGTATACAGACTTCAATGCTGAGTCCTTCGAAGTCTATATAAGCTGAACCAAGCATTTTGAAATGAGAGGATCTAGCCTACAGAGGACAGATCTCATCACCTAGCAACCATAACAGCTGCTGTTAACAAGCCATAATAAAATTTGTAATGACTTTTTTGAAAGTGATTTTAAAACTTATATTAAGCATTCTAAAAGCAAAGCAAAGTTTACAGAAGCTGGAAATATATTTCCTTTGATCCATACATGTATACATAAAAGTCATAGTCTTATTTTTTACATGTTTAGATATCAAAGTAAAATAAAACCTAAGGCAAACATTTAATTCTGAGTTAAAAAAAAAGAAGTCCTGCCCTTATCAGCATGCAATGAATCTCGGGACGTTCAAGGCCGCAAAGGATCCACCGCTTGTGCCCTTCATTACCTGGGAAACGAAGGACACATTTTGAGGCTGCATTGGAAAAAGTCCACAAATTCTTTTGAAATGCTACAGCCTCCGTCACGCCACGATGACACAGCACCCTTCAAATGCATCCTTCAGAGGATGCAGCCTCTGAAATGAGACACAGCTATAGTCTTTGGACATGCATATGTGGAAAGGTGCATTTTTAAATGTTTGAACTATTAAAAACAAATAGTTATTATTATTTATAAATTTTAAGGTTCAAATAATGACTTATTTTTCATCATGTTTTGCTATGTAAAAGATTAAACAAATTTAAGCATCTTTAAAATGATTAATTGCAAACAAACAATGAATAAATGCATAATATTACTAATACAAATGGATGATGCTACACAATTAGTGTTGAACTGAAAATGTATCTTGGTTTATAGATTTAATAGTACATTTGTATCAGATTTCTTTTAGATTAGATTTTAACTTGGCTATTATTCTAGCTGCTTGTTTAAAAAAAACAATTTAATATGCTGATGAAGTGCTCAACAAACTTCTCTCATTAGTATAAATATTGAAAAAAGTTGTGCCACCTAATATTTTTCTGGAAACTGTTATACTTTTTTTTCAGGATTCTTTGATGTTTCTCATGTACATACTAAATATTTAGTGCTGTCATAAAGTGGTTTTCTTCTTTGCTTCTTAAATGTTACAGAGGCCAGTCAGAACTGACACAGCTGCTAAAGGAAGCATCAGGCAAAACCCTATGCCCTGTGAAAGTGATGAGGACGTCAGTGATGAATATGAGCCCCTGCCTCCACGAGTTCATCCTAGAACAAGAGCAGGAACCCGGCAGAGACAGGAACTTAAACAAGTAAAGCCAGCAACAGAACACAAGCCAAATGCCAAATAGGCCACAGTCCTTCACTGATTTATTCTAACTGATGGATGTTTTAAAAGAGTCACAGGAAATGCAAAATTAGTTTAATGAATACGTTTTATTTATTTAGAGCTTTTTCTATGCTCAAAGCACTTTACAATCAACATAAAAGATTTAAAAATATAACAAAAAATATAGTAAACAATGCAGAAAATGATGGATTCTGGCTCAGATGTATGTAGTATGCAGTGTTTATCGTTTGAAACAATAGTGTATTAACACATTAAGCCCTCATACTGTGTGGGAAAAAACTAACTTACTTTAACAACACAGGAAAAAAAGAATGAAGATGTTTATGAGGGCAAGACCTGGATGACCAACAGGAGACAAAACCACCAGTATGACAACCAACAAAACAGTACTCGATCAATTGATGACAACTATGCAGTAGCCAGCAGTAAAGCTGACTACTGGAGGAGTTGTACTAACAAACACACCTGGGAGAAAACACAATGGGACGAAACTGATGATGAGGATGAAGACCACTGGGGAAGTGATGTATGTGAACTGAAAGTTAAACGGAATCACAGAAGAGGAAGTGGATTCGGAAAATCGATAAATCAGAGTAAATGGTCATTCAAAAGACTATTGACTTTCCTGGTTGTTCTGATATTAGCAGCTGTTGGTTGTTGGTTTTATCCTCGCTGGAGCCGTAATGCCACACAACGCTACTCTGAATGAACAGACTGTTGTTAAGCATTTCCTGTGACCATTTTCACAGTGATGGGCTGAAATAAATACATAAAGTAATTTTAGGATTTTTTTGGTACACTAGGAGTGGACTGTATGTTTTAACCAATTTAATTGAGCATTGGAATAAAATGAATTTCTTTACAGAGCTCTTGGTATATTTTTGCAATGGAGTGTAATATTACCTTGCTGCAGTAAGGACATTCTCCAAACACAATATTGAAGCTTTGGCGACTGGTTGGCAGACCTCTCAGCCACTGTGAAGACAAATATATCAAAATTAGATTTAGAAGGGTCCTATTATGCTTTGTGCACTTCAGCTTCTTTTAGTGCACGTTGGAGCCGTTTGATCTGGGCTGACAGAAAAAGTAAAAAATAAAGCATCAAGTTCACTCTATGAGGCCATTTTGCCTATTCGTTTACAACGGTTTTATCCATTTTTATGTAGAGTTGAAGTCAGAATTATTAGAACCCCCCCCCCCCCCCTTTATTTTTCCCCAATCTCTGTTTAACAGAAAGATTTTTTGATTTTTCTAAAACCAATTCCTAGTACTGGCTTTCTTATATCTCTGACATGATGACAGTACACAACATTTTACTAGATATTTTTCAAGATAATAGTATTCAGCTTAAAGTGCAATTTAAATGCTTAATTAGGTTAACTATTTAGGGTAATTAGGCAAGTCATTGTATAACAGTGGCATGATCTGTAGACAAATGCCCAGATGAAGCTATTCTAAATCTGTAAACAGTTTCTGAAACCTGAACTTTTTTATTTTTTATTTAACAGGACAAGGTATTGCACGATTCCTTGAAATGCGTCAAACACACACTCGAAACAATATTTGACTAATAAAAATACTAATATCTAACATAATAAACAAACAAGGTAAAAACAATAACTAAAAAACATCAAACACTAAAAAATGATAAGTTATCTATACAACAATTTTAGAGCATGAGGAATAAAGGAGAGTTCATGAATTGTTGGTAGTCATAAGTTTTCTTTCGGGAACATACAGTAGATGCCATCATATTCTGATTATAAATGTTCACCACATCCAAGAGATTCTTTTTCCCTAGATCTAATATACCAGCACACATGCTGTTAACTTTCATAGATAGTAACGAACAATATCAGAATTTGAGTGTTTTGGAATTATTGAAACCTTTTGTGTTTTTGACATCGAATCTACACTTATGTGCTGGGTCAGGAAGCTGGCTGTCAATGCAAACACCTTTTGCTTGTGAGCTCTGCAAGTCATGTATTGGGAGTTTTGACTAATGTTTGCTTGTTTGCTGCTTCTGCATCCAAGGCACAAGCTGTAAAGGCTCCGCCCTCTCCTTGCTGGGGAGCTGCAGCTTATTTGCATTTTAGGAGACGCATGAAAACATCATGTTTTTGCTTCCACCTAAAAGTGAGCATTTAGAGCATTTTAAAATCTGTGTAGCATTTTAAGCTGTAACTTCTCAGACGGATTCTGAATACCTTTAATTAATACAAATGCTAACAAATTATTAATTGGTTAAGGAATTGGACATTGTGCAGTTGGTGTCTGTAGTTATACAGTAATAACATAAGTTATACATTAATTACAAAATAAATTAGAAAAAGAATTACAACCTTCAAAATTTCAACTAAATTTTTCGATTTATTTACTTGTTGATTTTTCCTCTTTTTTAAAATTTGTATTTAATATTTTTCCATAACATATATATTTGGATGTACTAGTTTTTGGACTGTTACCATAAGTTATTTTGTTAGATAAGCTCCAGATTTGGCTTGAGTTCTGACTAAACTTATGTATATGAACAAATATAATATTGTAGAGTTTCCTTTAATTTAAAAGATGTGAGGGGTGTACTCATATGTGTATCAATATATATGGTTCTTACCTCATAAAGACACACTTGATGGAAAGGCTGGCCACAACGTGGGTCATTGCAGACCTGATCTGGAATGGCTGACTCAAGTCGATAAGAATAGCAGATTCCACATTCAACACTGAAACTCTTGAGAACAGAACCACAACATGAGATTAGCTTTCAGATGTACAACGTTGTCAGTGATGTAAGTTTTAGTTATCCAATCAGTAACATTTCAGTCATTATTTTATGTCTCACCTTTGTGTTGCTTTAAAAAACACTAGGTAAGTAGATTTTCTATTTTTCTCGGACACAAAAGGAGAAATTGTGTTGAATTTGATATTTTAATATGCCATTACAGTCAATAAAGACCAGAACAAACCCAAATCTTATAAGTTAAAGGTGCAGTATGTAAGTTTAACACCCAGTGGTTGAACTAGGTATTGCATTCCTGGATCAAAACAAATGCAACTGAGGTTGCCAGATTGACGACATTAAGAGGAGTAAGCCTCGAGCCTAAACGCTGATATAAATCATGTTCTAAATAAAAGCATCAACACACGATAGTAGGAATCTTTTCCATATTAAAATGAGTTTTTGTCCTAACCAACACCTTGAATTGATATATTAGAAAAGGCTTCTATTTCTCAAAGGTAAACAACTGGATGAATAACAATAGCTATGTTTCCATCCAAAAATGCAAATTAACTTTAAGTGCAAAACTGGAACATTGTCTAAAAGATGTGCGAATAAAGCAGCATTTCGATTCAACGAGTCAAAGCGAACACAATCATCACTTCCTGATTAACTGGCACAAAAAAACAGTACAAATTTAATTTGCTGCGGTAGGAGAAGCTGCGTGAATCTTCTCCTCATTTAATAAATGACTTGCGCCTCAAAAGGCAATCCTGACACGCAGTGAACATGCGGTGGCGTTTAAGGCATGGGACACGGAGCACAAATGCTCTTGATTCCGGAGGTCACTAATAATATAATAACACTAATAAGTAAGGCCTTTTAGAATGACCAAAACAACATTTCAGATGTTTTACAATGAGCTCAGCCTGCTGGTTTATCCACTTGTACATTTTTATTATCACATGATCTCTTATAACAAAGTCAGAAGTTTTTTTTTTAATGCACATACCTGTATTACACAAAACGGCGCTTCAAGTCGCCGGCCATTATTTGCCAAGCCATTATTCGAGATACTTCATGTTTCTGACACGCCATAAAGCGGCATCAGAATAGTTTCATTGTAAATAACATCCGAATGTGCGTGTCTCATGTGCTATGTCACAGCTCTGGTGCCTCAGTCAAAATTAATTCAGTGTGTGTGGTTATTAGTCTCGGTGTACAAGCTCGCCACTTGAAACTAGCAAACAGTTGGCTGTAAAACTATACAAAGACACAAGGGATTTTGTACTTTCTGCTTGGTCTGTGTCCGAGTCGTACATGTACGGCTGAATGCTGATGCTCTCACTCATGTAGCTTCTTTCTGTCTGCCTGTCTGTTGCAAGCACAGAGCGGGGGAGCTCTTGGCTCCACCCCCTTTTTTACATTGGGCGGGAAGCCGAAACTACTTTTCATGTGAAGCAACACGCCCCTAAAACAGTGAGCTGTGTACACGCCCCCAAAATGACACGTTTTAACACATTATAATAAAAAAATCTGAACTGTGTGTTGAACTGAACCTAAACTGGCACACTCAAAAGAACCATAATAATAATAATAATAATATTAAATCATAAAAAGGGGTAAACTATGTGCCATTTAAGTCATATGATGACTATGCATGAGTAATATAATTATTAAAAAAAAAGTTAACAATTAAAAAAATACATCTAATTTTATTCCTAGCTTTTATAAATACCTTGTTAATAAACTGTTAAAAAAAACAAAAAGAACACCAACAAAGCATCACATCTTATATTTTGTCTTTGAGATGTGAAATTCTGCATTTAAAATTGAGTATTGCAGCGGCTCATATTTGTTCCCACAGGGTGAGAAGGCTCAGGTGGACTCATCATCTCTATATGTGCTTGACCTGCACTTCACACAATCCTTCTCAGCTTAGCAAAGACGCCTCAGTCTCACAACCCCCCTCCACCCATTCCTCTGCGTCTCCTCCACTGTCCATGTTTGCATATCGCCATTCGGATAATTAGAGTTTTTTTTTTTTAATTCTCCAGCAATCCATTAAAAGGATGCAAGATAAAAATTTCAACATCTGGTCAAGGAAACTTTTCTCGCTTCAGAATGTTAATGATGGTCAAGCATTAATCTGCGGTACAGACTGTGAATAAACACTGCGCCCTTTCAACCTGCGAGCTGAAAGAGAAAAAGCAGAAAAAAAAATGCACACAGAAAAAAAAAGAAGATAAATGGCGGAGCTATGATTAAACAGCTCTTGATAGTGCTGAAGATTCTGCCACCTTTGTTATTGTAATGATCTTATCTGTAAACAACCCAATTAAAGGAAATCCGTACCCACCTCTCCCGATGATAAAAACATAAAGAGAAAAGGAGGTGGAAACACACACACACACACACACACACACACACACACACACACACACACACTGCAAGCCTCAAAATGTAATGGTGCTGTGGAACTAATAGTAAGTGGCAGTCTATGAGACGAAAATATGCAACGTACAGATTTTTCGTGGGTGGTAGGCGATGGAAATTCAATCTCCAACACATCTTTCATATTCTGTAGGACAGTGCAGTCAGGGTTCCTGAGAAGAGATGAGGAAATCAGACCTTCGTGCACTAATTAAACGCACGCAGTCATGAAGCTATAATGAATACAGTTCAGTGATTACTGCCCAAAAAATGCAGGCTATCACTGTGAGAATCAACGTATGGGCCAAGACATTCTCACTGTGCGGTTTCTGATTCATTTTACAATGAAATACAGATATTCAAACGCACACAAACACACACACACAAAATCAGCAGCAAATAAAATAGCACATTTACTCAGAAATCAATGCAGCATCCCCACAGATCAGGTTCAGCCTGAATATATGTATAACATGTTTGCTTACCATAAATGCATATTGGCATTCAACTTATTCCTTAAAGGAGTGACCACTGAAAGACACACAACATGTTAATATTTTTTAACAGAATTGTTGTAATAATTGTCAACAGTACAACAATATCTATCTATCTATCTATCTATCTATCTATCTATCTATCTATCTATCTATCTATCTATCTATCTATCTATCTATCTATCTATCTATCTATCTATCTATCTATCTATCAAGGTCATATTTTAAAAAGATTAATTGTTATCGATACAATTTTTGTATAATCCCTCAACATATCCTGATTGCTCATAAGTATAACCATTGTATACACACACCGGCCACTTTATTAGGTACATCTTACTAGTACCTAGTAATCCTATATAGCAGTGGTCACCAAACTTGTTCCTGGAGGGCCGATGTCCTGCAGATTTTAGTTCCAACCCTATTCAAACACACCTGAACAAGCTAATCAAGGTCTTACTGGGTATACTTGAAACATCCAGGCAGGTGTGTTGAGGCAAGATGGAGCTAAACCCTGCAGGGACACCGGCCCTCCAGGACCAGGATTGGTGACCCCTGCTATATAGCATAGATTTAACAAGGTACTGGAAATATTTCTCAGAGATTTTAGTCCATATTGACATGTTAGCATCACACAGTTGCTGCAGATTTGTCAGCTGCACATCCATGATCTGAATCTCCCATTCCACCACGTTCACATTGGATTGAGATCTGGTGACTATGGAGGCCATTTGAGTACAGTGAACTCATTGTCATGTTCAAAAAACCAGTCTGATTATTTGTGCTTTATGACATGGCATGTTATCTTTTCAAAGTAGCCATCAGAAGATGGGTACACTACTCAGGCTGTCAACAACAATACTCAGGCTGTGGCTTTGACACGATGCTCAATTGGTACTAATAGGCCTAAAGTGAAAAGAACATATCGCCCACACCATACACCACCAGCATGAACAGTTGGATCCATGCTTTAATGTTGTTGACGCCAAGTTCTAACCCTACCATCTGAATGTCGCAGCAGAAAATGAGACTCTTTAGACCAAGCAACGTTTTTCCAATCTTCTATAGACCAATTTCGGTGAGCCCGTGTAAACTGTAGCCTCAGTTTCGGTTCTTAGCTGACAGGAGTGGCACTCGGTGTGGTCTTCTGCTGCTATTACCCATCTGCCGCAAGGTTGGATGTGTTATGTGTATAGAGATGCTCTTCTGCATATCTCAGTTTTAACAAGTGGTTATTTAAGTTACTGTTGACTTTCTATCAGCTACAACCAGTCTGGCCATTCTCCTCTGACTTCTGGCATCAACAAGGCATTTACCGCACACTGGATATTTTCTCTTTTCCGAGCTTTTCTCTGTAAACCCTAGATATGGTTGTGAATGAAAATCCAAGTAGATCAGCAGTTTCTGTAATACTCAGAGCAGCCTCTCTGGCACCAACATCCATATCACATTCAATGTCATTTAAATCACCTTTCTTCCCCATTTTGATGCTCAGTTTGAACTACAGCAGACCGTCTTGACCATGTCCAGTTGCTGCCATGTGATGACTGATTAGAAATTTGCGTTAATGAGCAGTTGGACATGTGTAACTAATAAAGTGACCGGTGAGTGTATTTACTAATAAAAATGAAACATTTACTTAATGACACTAAAATGTCAATGTAACTGCTGTCTATATATAAAATAGTGAATAAAATAATGTATTTAAATGTATTTAATTTAGTTAATAAAGCTGTATTCAGTAGTAATTTATTGTTTGTTATTGCTGTGGTGGTGAAACTGGCATTGAATATTATTAAATTTGACAAGATACAATGATGACCTTAACACAGTTAAGCTGTTATCTGTTCTCATTTTCAGTTATTTGTTATTAAAACAAACACACATATTTTTTGTTTTTATAATAGCAATACACACTGGACTTCATAATGTCTGCAAAGCACTGGGGGACAAAAAAGCCATCAACATAAATCATATCAATCAATCTGCATGGCAAAAAAAAAAAACAAGCCCGAGGGAGTGTTGTATATGAAGGCAAGAACGCTGCTCACCCCCCTAATGTAGCCGAGCAGTTTCAATTAACTCTACCTCATCTCTCATTCAGCGTTCCTCACCTGATCGCCGAGCGCTGACAGACAATGCAAAACCACGTCATTTCTTACCTCTAATCTCTATTCTCTCCAAGAAATGCCACAGCAGAGCGGCCGAGAGAACAGGGCATTTCCTACTGTGACAAACCGTCTGACAGAAAGGGAAATATTCAAATAATTCAAATAAAACGCGCTCATCATGGCTGTTCCACCCGAGAGATCAATCTGGGAGGAACGTGATAGCCGCACTCTCTGTTTGTCATTTGTAAATGCAAAAAGCAATATTTCTGTCTGACCCCGCGCTCGGAGGGTCCGCGGCTGCCACCGTCTTGACTATTGAAGTGTGGATTTAATATCAATGAATAACATTGCTAGGCAACCGACAATGTGTTCTGTGTGCCATTGTCAGCCAAGCATGACCTTGGATTTAAAGAAACAATCACGGCGGCTTAAATAGAGCAAACTGACCTCCATTCCAGCACCATCTCACTCCGAATCTAAAAGCACGTTGCGCCGCAAACATATTGCGGGCTGTCAGCTCGGCCGCTCCGACTGTAGCGCTGCTGTCTAAATGCAGTAAAGCATTTACAGCATGTGCACTTATGTACGGAGGTAATTGAAAAACAAGAGCACGAGAGTGAGGCATGAGTCTTCACATCCGAGCTGCCTCTCACACGCAGGAAAGCGTAATAAAAGCTCTATGGAGATAAACAGAGAGATCTGCAGATATGAAAAATGCCTACCGTGCTCAGCCCCGAGCAAACAGCACTCCGGCAGCATTTTGGGGTGTCTGGGGTCAATTTGTACCTTTATTGAGACATTGTTTCCTGAGGAAGAACAGTGATATGGCAGCTTAATATCACAGGGAATCATTGTGGATGGTGGATGATCTGCTGGTAATGAGATTCAAATGTAGTAATAGGAATGTAACGTTACCAATGGCGATTCTTCTGGTGGAGTCTGCTTTTGTGGGCTTTTCTGGTTCCAGCACCCATGTCTTCTCATCGATCTCATCCAGCACTGACCAAAAGTCAGACAGAGCCTCAACGTTTAACAGGAACTGGCTGTGGACGTTGGCCAAGGTGCTCTGGGTGTTGGTATAAAAGACAACAAATTAGCCCTAATAATTAATGTATTTCTTATTGAGAATTGGCATTTGACGTGAGGAAGTAGTAGGTCCAATATAGCCTTCGCAAAGTTGCATATGCTTCACTGTGCCCTGATGCGTACCTTTCAGAAATGTAACTACATTTCACGGTGACTACATGTGGTTAGCTTGGTATCAGCAAAAACTATAGAATACACAAGACATATCACTCGTATAGTTTTGAATGGGGAAAAGTGTAACGACATTGCGACAAATGAAGCCCTGCCTTGTAGTATAGGAGCCAATCATTGATTGATATAGACTGACGTTTATCCAGGGGAGGGGCTTGGACCAGAGTTTCTGCAGATTTTGTGTGATTCAAATGTTTAGAAATGAAACTAAAGAGACATTTGTTTAATTTTATTTGTAATTCTTAATATGAAATTTAATTGTAAGCTTGGCGAGCAAATTTGGAGAATTTGATGTTTCCCCATTCAAACAGAATGCTCGAGAGGAGTTTCAAAGATGGCCGCCAAGTGAAATGACTTACCTTAATGGGATTTTGGTGTTGAGAACAAGTGTTTGTGATGCAGAGAGCCATGGGAGGCCAGTGGTGTAATTGTTTTACAAGCTCCAGATGGAAACTTTTGTTTTGGGTTTATTTTATGATTAAAGTTTTTGAACATTTGCTCCATTCTGAGCATTCATTGCTTGAATAAGTGTGAGGTTGAGATACATCTACTACTATAGTAGCATTGCATGCATTTCTGGCATGAACCCAAAACACAGGCAAAGATCCTCGACACAGTGGAACATAGAAAACCCCTCTGCCTACTAGCATTTCCGAATGCGGTGGGATTTTCTATGTTCCACTTTGTTGAGTTTCTTTGCCAGTGTTTTGGATTTACTAGTATTTCAGAAGTGTTATTGCACAGGTAGAATGCAGAGGTATACTGTATATGCTCACAATTGTGTTGGATACACACGAGGTATGTGCAGTGGGGTAGAGTGATCTCTTGACACAGAAGTAAAAATCAGACCTCTTGGATAAACATGCTCTGTTTCAATTCTGTTTGCTCTGACAATATATTTAGTTGTTATACTTCATTTATACATTTTCTTTTCTTTTTCTGTTCTGAAAACAGTTCAATTTAAAATATGAATTTGTAATAATGAATTAATTTAAATACATAGATTATTTTCAGAATAAATAAATTACCTGTTTATGATGTTTCTAAATTTTTGTGTATGTGTGTATTAATGTGTGTAACCATATACTTATTTTGAGCGACACGGTGGCTCAGTGGTTAACACTGTCGTCTCACAGCAAGAAGATCACTGGTTTGAGCCCATGCCGAGTAAGTTGGCATTTCTGTGTGAAGTTTGCATGTTCCCCCAAGTGTTTGTGAGTTTAGTCCAGGTGTTCCGGTTTCCCCCACAGTCCAAAGACATGCGCTATAGGTTAATTGTATAAGCTAAACTTGCCATAGGGCGACGCAGTGGCGCAGTAGGTTGTGCTGTCGCCTCACAGCAAGAAGGTCTTTGGTTCAAGCCTCAGCTGTGTCAGTTGCTGTTTCTGTGTGGAGTTTGCATGTTCTCCCTGTGTTCGCGTGGGTTTCCTCAGGGTGCTCCGGTTTCCCCCACAGTCCAAAGACATGCAGTACGGGTGAATATGCTATATTGTCTGTATTGTGAGTGTGAATGAGTGTGTGTGGATGTTTCCCAGAGATGGGTTGAGGCTGGAAGGGCATCCGCTGCGTAAAAACGTGCTGGATAAGTTGGCGGTTTATTCCGCTGTGACGACCACAAATTAATAAAGGCACTAAGCCGAAAAGAAAATGAATAAATGAATGAAATTGGCCATAGTGTATGTTTGTGTATGGGTGTTTTCCAGTACTGGTTTGTGGCTGGAAGGGTATCCGCTGCGTGAAACATATGCAGGTTAAATTGGCAGTTCATTCCACTGTGGACATAAATAAAAGGACTAAGCCAAAGGAAAATGAATGCATGCATTTATTTTAACCTGAATAAATGTACAATTATTTTCTGAATAAAAACATATAATTTGCTTTTAAAAAAAGTGCAACATATTTTTCAGAAAATATAGTTATAGTAAATTATCTGCAGAAAGCATAAAATGACTGTATTCAAATTTAGAAATAAAACAGTAAAATCCACTATGTTGAAACATCTCAGTTTGAATGGACATGACTCCTCTCATCCAGCAGTTGTACTCTTAAACGTTTTTTTTTATTTTTAATTCCCCCATCTCTCAGAAGTGCCTATACGGTAGAAATACTATTGTTTTAAATTCTCATGCGACTCTTGATATGCAGAAACAAGTGTGGTTTTTTCTCACTCTGACATTGGCCAGGCTGTCTTTAATAACTCCTGAACACTTCTGCATATGGAAGATGTTGATACTGTCCACATGTCTGGTTTCATATCACTGCTTTATACAAACTCTTCAGCCCTCTACCATCAACACTCGTGAAGGAAAAAGAAAAAAAAAAAGAAACATTCCCACTGAAGCCTTGCCAAGTTTTCATCAACTACCTGTCAACAAACCATTGATTAAAGCACCAACCAAGAACAAATCAAATGCAAAAAGTGACTGAACAGGAAAAGACCAAAACTCATACATCAGCAAACAAGAGAATTCCAGCAATGGCGTTTGATCACGGAGAACCACAGACGCCCCATCCACAGTTCAGCGTAACGGCTTCCTCTAATTCTAACATACACAAACACAGTAGGCCTCGGTTTCCTTTAGAGCTGTCCAGTGGTGAGGCAGAGCTAATGGTTTGAGTTTGACCGCTCATAAATCACAGCCGATGATTGACAGCTGATGGGCTTTGGCCTCATTTCACTCCACGCTGTCAAAGTGAGGGAGCACAGGTCGCCCACGCCGTGCTGACCTCAGACCCTCACTCCTCGCTTTCCACCCGGCTGCCAATTCAAGGTCTTTAATCTCGGCCCAGAATCAGAACACTTCAGTCTGGACACCAGATCCTCTCTGCCGACCGGTGCTTTATTTTTAGATGAATAGGCTTATTAAGTGTCAAAGAGACGGCATCACTTGAGCTGAAAGCCTGTGGAATTTTTAAATCAAAACTTTTAGACTTCTAAAATGACGCAACCATGTGCGATAAAGTCTACAAACAACACTGAAGACAGTTGAAAACCTGGAAACATTGATTTGCTTGGCATTTGTTTTGGCATCAACGATTACAGGTTTCCAACATTGCTCAATATATCTTCCTTTGTTTTCAACAGAACGACAACAGCAACAACAACAACAACTCAAATCGCTTTGCAACAAGTCAAGGGTGAGTGGATGTGGACAGGATTTTCTGAACTTCTTTACGTTGTCTTTAACAATCCCAATTACATACATTGAGCATTAAGGAATACATATTTCTCTTTGACCAATTATTGATTTATTTACTTGACTATCCCTTTGAGTGAATTGCAGACAGCAACTTATTGCTTATACCCACATTCTACAAGCTTTTAAGTTTTTCATCATTAAAAATACTTTTATATTCAAAAATATTTTTTTAATGAAGGAAAATAGAATAAGGGGCAAAATTTTGATTTCTTTAGGCTGGACATGACTTTTGGGAAGCTAATGTATTTAACATCTGAATCTATCTTTGATTTTAAAGGTTCATACATTCAACAATGCATACACCAGTTAACAAGATAGGGACAAGTCAAATGTGCAGGTGTTTTCAACTGTGTAAAGCATTATGTTGCATTTTAAAATGGCAGAAAAGAATCTAAATAAACAGGCAAGTTTCACTGCTTAATAAAAACAATAACAGAGAATTCTTGATGGGATGGTGATCATATGATAAGAGTAAGTAGAGAATTGGCAGAAGAGTGCACAATAGATCTTGAGGGTCTCCGGCTAATATTTTATTTAGTAAAATGTGCGTTCAGTACTGCAACACACGTAAAGTAAAAAGTTAGAATGCTTTGAATAAGTGCATTTTAAAACAGTTCCTAGATTGGCACAATTTACATATAAAAAAGCAACAGGGTTATGATGTGATTGAAAGGGAACACAATGAAACAGACTGCCACTGGTCTGATTTACTCCAATTTTCATTTAAACATTAAATGAAAACATTTAGTAAAATTTAGGTACACAAATCACCAAAATGTGTAACACAGCTTCTTTTGGAGTTTTTTTTTTAACATTGATTTAATGCAATTTTTTTTTAATAAACTGTACATAACAAAAGAAAATGTTCTATCAGGACATTATCTGTCTATTTGTATGTACCTGTATGCAGTATACTAAGGGTATACTCAGTATACTAAGACTTTTAAAAGGTTCAGACCAACCCTCTCCTAATAACAGTAATTGTGCATACATTGACCGGAGGTTCATAATAACAGTGGGTGCAGCGGACAACAACTTTGCAATCTTGCATGTGTGTGAAAAAAAACGGACTCACTTGCTTTTCTATGTAAACATGGTTGACAGACATGTGTGACCATTTGCGACCTTCTACAGCACGTCGCACATGAATGGGGCTCATTAATGTCAGTTACATAGCAGTGGACCAATCAAACAAACTTGCAGGCAGAGCAAGAGGTGCTTGCGAGCTTCTGAGTACCAAGTTGACATGACAATGGCAACATGGCGGAACTATTTTGAATGTAGAGGCACATTCCTCGTGAATGGCTGGTAAGTTTTTGCACTGCTGAGATAAACCCCAGTGATTTCACATCTGGACTGACTGTATTGGCTGTGTAAGTACTTGAACTGAACTGTCATCACTATGATAATTCGGGATGAATACATATAACGTCACACGCCAGTATATACAGAATGAATGTATGTATGTACAATGTAGAATGCATATAATAAATGCAGCATAAAGTGAAGTTTTACAAACTAATTTCGAGAGGAGCATGTGATATGATTGAGCACGACTGGCTTCTCTTCTGTAATCAGTAATAATCCAATCAGAGTGATCCAAGCTTACTATAAGTGGATCGTTTTCTCCCTACTACTTTAACTTCATTTTGAAAGAATCCCCCCTTCCACCCCATCTCCTCCTTTTCCTCCCTTTTCTAAGGAGGAGGTCTCGAGATCTACCTGATCTCGGATCTCCTTATATGCATATTGACCGGACGGGAGCCTTGGGCTTAAGTATCTCTGAGTTTAGGGTTCTCTCCCAGTATAGCACGCCAAACCTGCTATAAACGTCAAGCATATCTAAGTGGGAACTCTTGAAATGAATTTAAATTAAATTGCACCTCCCAATACATAATGTAATAAATACATTTCTAAGTCGATATACAGTATGTACTGCCAACACACGTAGGCACTCTCTCTCTCTCTCTCTCTCACACACACACACACACACACACACACACTATATTTTTGCTGTGATCAGAGGAGAAACTAGATTGGTTTTAGATTGTGAGATGTTAAATCACATTTGTCAACAGTAATTTTGAACCATTGTAATACCTCAACCACATAATACAGCCAATCTCAACTGATTTAAGAGGGACAAGACTGGCTGCGTTTATAGGATGAGATCTCATGTGTTTTTCTTTTGTCACATAATTTGTGTGCGCTGATGTTGATTATGTGCCTGATTCTGCGATACATTTCCATACATGTTAAATTGGAGAGCACAGAGGCAGAGCAGTCAGAGCTGGTAATTGAACACAACAAAACAAATCAACTGACTTTGGTTTTCGTAGACAGTTGCACTAAAGCAAGAAATATGCAGACAGGAAAAATCAAAAACACAGCATAGACTGGGAAGAAAAATTTGACTAGAACATATTAATGTGAACGAGCCTTTCATGATGCCACACAGGACGAAATGCTCTGATATAGGAAAAAGAGCATGAAACAAATATAATGGGTCATTGTGCCAATACAGCACACACAATTTAGCATCGCACAGGTGCAAAGACGCAGCAATTATTTCCCAATTAATGCCGGTTGTGTGATTATAGTTATGCTTTTATTTAAATATATGGTGCAGGCGAGATGTCCTCATAATTGAATTTCTCTTGGAAATGTGCCTGAAATGTGGAACGGCACAATGAATTCCTCCCCAGTGAGGTGACAGCATGTGCACTGTTCTGTTAACTCTACCAATTAGGTCCCGCCTCATAATGTTCAATGGTGCATTTTCAGTCATTTAGTGAACAAGTGTCAAGTAAATAAATCAATAATTGCACAAAGAGAAATATGTATTCCTTAATGCTCAATGTCTATAATTGGGATGGTTAAGGACGACGTAAAGAAGTAATTCAGGGCTAAACAAATCGTTCATTTATTACATTAGTGGAAAAAAGCCAAAAATGTTTCCAGTACAACATCATTGGAAGTGTAGTACATAAGGATTACTTTAGAATATTATTCAATCACCTGTCTTCGTAAGGTTAATTCCAGGGTTCTTAGGAGACTAAAACTAAAAACTTTAACTTTTTTTTAAACAATTTAAAATAAACCACTTTAAATATAAAATAAAAGCATAAATACAAAAATTTAAATAAATTAAAATTATCAATAACTTAAATACTCAATGATACTAAAATTACAGTTGATGCTGCATAAAACTGAAAATGACAATTAATGTATTATTATATTATATTTTATTATATTATATTATATTATATTATATTATATTATATTATATTATATTATATTATATTAGGATTTCAGTTAAATATTATTGGTTAAAAGTAAAAATAAAAACAGTAAAACCTTTTAGTTTATGAAATGAGTGAATTGAATAAGTTTAATTCATTTAATTAACATTTAAAAATGTCATCATTTATTTGTAGTTAATGTTAATTTTATTTTTATGTTAAGCAATATTTATGTAAAGATTTTAAAAAGTTATTTTAATTGAATGACATTTCAGTCCTTTTCATTCATTTATTCATTTTCTTTTCGGCTTAGTTCCTTTATTAATCTGGGGTTGCCACAGTGGAATGAACCACCAACCTATCCAGCATATGTTTTACTGATCCCCCTCCAACTGCAACTCATCACTGGGAAACATCCATACACACACACACAAACAGTATGGCCAATTTCATTCATTCATTCATTTTCTTTTTGGCTTAGTCCCTTTATTAATCCGGGGTCGCCACAGCGGAATGAACCGCCAACCTATCCAGAATGTTTTTACGCAGCGGATGCCCTTCCAGCCTCAACCCATCTCTGGGAAACATCCACACACAAACTCATTCACACTCACACACTAAGGACAATTTAGCATACCCAATTCACCTGTACTGCATTTCGATTGACTGTGGGGGAAACCGGAGCACCCTGAGGAAACCCACGCGAACGCAGGGAGAACGCCACTCAGAAACGCCAACTGACCCAGCCGGGGCTCAAACCAGTGACCTTCTTGCGGTGAGGCGATTGTGCTACCCACTGCGTCGCCATTATGTCTTCAGTCCTTTTCTTACTTTAATTTTGATGCCACCTCAGTGAACATAACTTTCAATATTTATTTATTTGTTTATTTTTGTCCAGAAATGTTAAATAAATCTTGCAGCAACAAACTTGAGTGGTATTGTGTTCACTTTTCTAAAATAGGTTGTGGGTTAAAAATTCATGCTGTGTGGATTGTTTCTCTGCGTGCGCTCTACGAGTCGGGCCTGGTGGCTTGTTGAGTGTAAATCCTGCTGAGACGCACCTGCACCGCTGCGTCCGCCACCAAACAAAGAGCACACCTCGCCAAATCTCCTGATCCATATTATACATTACTCACAAACTCACTGACTCTCTCACACATGCACAAACACAGTCAGCTGAGCGCAGGTAATCATTACTCATTCAAATGTACGTGAGAGGCAGGCGGACAGGCCTTTCTCTTCCCCGAAACGAGGAGATGCATCAAGACATCAGCAGCGCAGCAGGGCTTCGGTCGACAGAAGGCTGCTGTGTGCTGAGCTGGTCTTCTCTGTCAGAAAGCCATGTTCCACCGCCATCCCTCACCCAACACAACGCACAACCCTCCCTAACTCACACCACTGCTGTGCAATGTGCCAAGTCGCTTTCATCCACCTCAAAGTAATTGGAGCAAACGTATGACTGAAGAGGAGCCTGTTTTTTTTTTTTTTTTTTTTGTTACAGGGGAGGAGGCGAAAACAGAGGACGATGATAAAAAGAAAACGACAGTGAAAAATGGGTCTCCGTTCTCGCTTTTAATTGTTATACGTAAGAGGAAAACTCGTCGAGGCTCATTAGAGGCCGCTAACATATGTAGCTTTCCAGATCGCCGTCCTGTTGGTTTATTTGGCACACTTTGAGCCTTTGTGAGGGGAGTTATTGTGTTTTTTTACGAGTGCAACATCAAAGCGGCGGCGGAACGGAGCACCTTTCATCAACAAAAACACACCTTTAAATGCCAAAAAAAACTTTGTTAATTAAAAACGTTGTGTTTTAATAGTTTTTTTAAAGGCCAATTGTATTAATGTAATTAAAAGCCAAATCGACTTTTAATAGTAATTTGTTTTGTTCAAAAACTTTTTCAAACTACTTAAAAATATGTACCTGAGAGGTCCACGTGATGACCAGAGGAATTGGAAGATCCGCAGAAAACTCTGGAGCCTCAGCTGGATACTGAACAAAGAGAAAAAAATGTGAGAGATAATTATGGTTTAATACTATATGTGGTGCGCAAGGAGGTACAGTCATTCAATAGATGCTTTTATCACTCAGAATGTTACTGGAAGTCTGCTATGGTTTTTCAGAAATTTTAAAGTGCACCTATTTTACCCCTTTTTCAAGATTTAAGATAAGTCTTTTGTGTCTCTAGAATGTGTTGGTAATTTTCAGCTCAAAACACTCATCAGACTATTTATTATACCTTTCAGAATATTTAAATCTACTGCTCTGAACACATTGTAGCCGTTTTTGTTGCCTATGCCTTTAATGCTAGTTCTCCCACCGTTCCCATGTGCCTGCCAGTGTGTCCGTCAGATAAACAGCACAGTGACAGACATAAAGAAAGCAGATCTCACATAAAGTTTGTGAGAAATACTACAGTAAGAACTTTACCAATGATTATTTGATGTATTTGTTGTGGAGTTATTTCAAGCCTTTCTGCGATGAGTTACGCACAATGTCGTTACACACACACACACACACACACACACACACACACACACACACACACACGCACACAGCATTTTACTTTGATTTTGCACAGCAAATATGACAGGATACACATTAATATCCACTGCTGTATGGATATTCGATATGGATATGGATGTATGGATATTAAATGTACAAGATAAACTTGATTTAATGTCCACAACCCGGGATTGAAGCGTCTTCTCTTATAATTGTACTGACACGCGACTGTGGTGATAAGTAAAGTTGAAGTAAACTGCTGAAATTCATTACAAACATGCACTTGCTGTAATTCGTTACAAAGATGTAATTTTTTTGTAACAAAAAACTTTGATACTTGTAAAACTCATTCTTGATCACATTTGATGATTTGTTTGGGATTGATGATCACAGAGAGTTGAACAGATCTTTTAATCCTAGTTGCTTTGTGCCCATCCTGTCTTGTTGAAATGATTATTAGTGTTACTACGGTGACATTTTAATATGTGGTTGTCAATCAATTTGGTGGTAGGGGAAACCGCATTCCTACGTTACAATTGGGCTCAAAATGGGAGGGATGTGGTTCCTATTTTACCATCAGGAAATAAAAAAACAGAGACTTGTTATCTTTATATCACTGTGGACATACTATACCTACACACAATTCTACTTCACGGCTTTCAAAAGATGCCCTTTAAATGTAAATGGTAGGATTTAGGCAAGCATTTAGGACTGTATATCAGCAAGAATCTGGCTAATTGACATGCCTCATGAAACTAGGTCACAATGTAATTTACTTCAATACTATAGCACAGCAATTTATTGCATATTTATTATTGCTAAATCGCCAAAGTGTCACAAAAAACACAACACTAGGGGTGCAGTGGATCACAAAATTGTTTATAATGTTACAAAGTATGTCCATTTATAATTAATTTTCTTTTGACCATTCTATTCACCAAAGTCTCCAGAAAGGTTCAATCAATCAATCAATCAATCAATCAATTCAATTTGATTGAGGATAAAATTAATAATATTTGAATATTTTCTGAAGGATCATGACTGGACCAGCCTTTTTTAAAAAATGCAATAAATCATACTTTAAAAAGTGATTAAAAATGAAATAATGTAATATTGTTTCACTGTATTTTTTTCTGTATCTAGCAAATTCAGCACTATTGAACATAAGAGACTACTTTCAGATATATACAGGGTTTCTGCTGGTTTCACAAAGTCAAATTTAACTTTTTAAGACCTATTTAAGACCATTGTGAATGTAATTTCAGACTTATAGAGGATATTAAATTATAATTAGTTATTTCTTAGCCACATATTTAAAATAAACTGTTAAAACCCCTTGTTTTAACATGTGTATGCAACTAGCTGTATGCATACAGATTTTTCAACATAACTGAAAAAAATAACAATTTAATTATTTAAAAATATTTTTGTGAACTTAAGAATTTTTAAGGTTTAAAATTTGGTTTTTGAATTTTAAGACTTTAAGACCCAGTGGCCACCCTGATATAAGTGCAATTGTAGTGTATGTTACATGAATACTGAATGGCAGGGTATATACACAATACAATATAAAGTAAATTAAATTTATAGTCTTGTTAATTATTTAACATTTGAAACTATTATCAATAATTAAAGTATAAAATAAAGTAAATTAAATTTATAACAATGTTAATTAATTAACAGATAAAACTATTATCAATAATTATGCATTTAAGCAGAGAATGTCCACTCTCCATAGCGGAACATCTTACCACACACAAAGTCTTACTTAACCTCTTTAATCCTGATATTCTCCTACATATGTTTCCATGTTACATTCAATAATACAACCATGACCCCACAACCCACATTTTCAGCAGAAGCAAAGATGCCTTTACTGGCTCCTATTGAGTAAGCTGCTGCTGGGTGACGGAGGGCCTTGTGAGAGGTGCCCGGCTCTTGGAGGATGAGCAGATGTGAGGTGGGTAGATCACGGCTATTTTTAGCACCCAGCAGGACGATGGGCAGGTGGGCACAGGGGGCTTCTCACGCCCTGCTGAATCTCATCAGGACCCCGTGCAGTGTCCGCAAGGAGCCACTGGCATCCATACCACGTAACCACTTCCAATTCCAAGCAGAGCTCACAATCACGGCCTGACTCTCAAACTGTAAACCACTCACACGCCACAATTTTCTGCTTCTTCTGTGGCCTCTGTAATCACCTTATGAGGATCACTCCTGGTCTTATCTGCGCCTCCGCATCCCTGCGCACTCTCTCACCTCTCCTTCAGGCCCTGCCACAATCTCACAGCTCCATCTCTCAACATAATCTTACAGTCACAGCACATTAGTGCCACCTGCTTAAAGTTAGATACTAAACCCAAAGTTGTGCTGCTTCTGCAGTCCAGCTGAGTCTGAGAATCTAGATATAGAAAGCTGCGTCAACTTATCCGGGTGCATTTGCATCTGTGACCCACAAAAATCAAGAATCTGCAAAATGACAAAATTATTATTGTCAGAAAGTTTATTTTTGTAGATCCTGACTTAAAAAGGGACATATCTATGTATTTTCTGGAATAAAAGATTGCATTCTTTTTATCCAGAAACATTCTGTGATTTATATCCAATACATAAATGTATTGTATGTATATTGTTTGTAAATGTATGTAAAATATACACAAAGTACGCACACACGCACGCACGCACACACGCGCATGCACACACTTTAATTTAGAGGCAAATGAGAAAGATTTTTTTTTATTACAGATTGAAAAGGCATTTATTTGAAAACAAACAAAAACTAAACTATTAGAATAAAATAATATTTCAATTTAGAGTAATTGTTTTTTTGTTACTAAATTGTGATTTTGTTGTGACTTTTAGCATTGCTTTTTCATGTTTTAGGGCCACTTGAAATCATTATAAATATATTCTATACGATTTTCTGCTCTATTATGATTATTATTATTTCTCATATGATGTTAATCATTATTAATAGTTGCTAATATCATCAACGTTGAAAACATCTTTTGTTTTATATTTTTATGAAAGCACTGATACATTTTATTTTTCAGTACTTTTCGATTTATATAAGGTTTAATCACATCTTTTTTTACATTATTGTCTATACTATCACAATTGATCATTATGGTGGCTTGAAAAGCCAACATACTGTTATCTCACGTAAACTTATTATTATTAGGCTGGCTTGTGTAGCAAGCCAGACTACTGTTATCCTATTAAACTTAATATTATTAGGCTGGCTTGTCAAAGCCAGACTACTGAAATGCTATTTAAACTTATTATTATTATTTTTTTTTTTTTTATTAATCTTCTGAGACTAAATTTCTAACTCTATCTCCTCCTAGAGCTTTTGAGCTATTACCACCAAACTTGCTCCAGACCTCCAAACTATTCTGACTCGTGTTGCTATATCTCCTCAGACTGATCCGACTTTCGGTTTTCCGAAAAACGTCCCGGGACTGTCGGAAAAATCCCATAGGCTTAACATTGGATCAAACTTTGTGAGCTCATAACTCTGCGTCAGACTGTCATAGAGACTAATGGCTGAGCTCATTTAACTCCGACTACCAAACTGCCAATGACTGATCACCTTTAAACTTTCTAGCCACGCCCTAGCAACCACTTTTGGACCCTAGTAACTGTCCCATAGACTTCTATTCAAAAGACTCTCATTGACTTAACATGGGATCAAACTTTATGAGCTCAAAACTCTGCATCAGACTGTCATAGAGACTAATGGCTGAGCTCATTTAACTCCGACTACCAAACTGCCAATAACTGATGAGCTTTTAACTTTCTAGCCACTCCCCTAACTACCACATACTGCACCCTAGCAACTGTCCCGTAGACTTCCATTACAAAAGACTCTCATTGACTTAACATGGGATCAAACTTTGTGAGCTCATAACTCTGCATCAGACTGTCATATAGACTAATGGCTGAGCTCATTTAACTCAGACTACCAAACTGCCAATAACTGATGAGCTTTTAACTTTCTAGCCACACCCCTAACTACCACATACTGCACCCTAGCAACTGTCCCGTAGACTTCCATTACAAAAAACTCTCATTGACTTAACATGGGATCAAACTTTGTGAGCTCATAACTCTGCATCAGACTGTCATAGAGACTAATGGCTGAGCTCATTTAACTCAGTCTAGCCAGCAGCCAATCACTGATGGCCTTTTAACTTTCTAGCCACACCCCTAACTACCACATACTGCACCCTAGCAACTGTCCTATAGAATGTAATTAGGTGTGCTATCGAATGCTTATAATTCTAACATGCTAATGACATGCCAATCATGCTAGCAACATGCTACTCATATGCTAATCATGCTAATGACATGCTAACTCATACTGGAAACATGCTAATGACATGCTAATTTGTACAAGAATCATGCTAGTAACATGCTAATTCATACTAGACTCATGTTAATAACTGGCCTACATGCATATCTTTGCTTAGCAGTGTCCTATTGAC